ATGCCTCCTACCTAGGGTTTGGTTGTGTTCTGATGCAGCATGACAAGGTCATAGCCTACGGGTCTAGACAATTAAAAGTCATGAGAAAAATTACCACACCCATGACTTGAAACTTGCTGCCATTATGCATGCTTTGAAGACCTAGCGCCATTACCTGTATGGGGAGACTTTTGAGATTTTTACTGACCATAAGAGCTTGAAACACATATTCACTCAGAACGATCTGAATATTCGTTAGAGGCATTGGATAGAGCTCTTCAATGATTATAATTGTAATATCTTGTATCACCTGGGTAAGGACAACGTAGTAGCTGATGCGCTAAGCAGAAAAAGTACAGGTATGTTAGCTCACCTAATGATTTCTGACTGCAAAGTAATAAGGCCCGCACAATAGATATGACTTAAGGACTTAAAGAGAGTTATATATTTGGCCCACCTGATTATTTAACCTGAATTGATCCAGAGAATAAGAGAAGCATAATTAAGCGATTCCACCATAGTCGTCCTCGAGAAAGATGCAGAACAGGGAGTACGTTTAGAATTTTGAATCTCTATCGATAGATTGCTCAGGTTTTAGGACAGGATGTGTGTTCTAAATGATAGTGAATTAAAAAGAGATATCATGACATAGGCTCATAGCTCCAAGTTCGCCATACATCCCAAAAGTATTAAAATATATCAAAATATGCGACCTTGATTTTGGTGGAGCAGGATGAAAAGGGAGCTAGCAAACTTTATTACCAAGTGTCTAGTATACCAACAAGTTAAGGCAGAGCATCAATGCCTAGACGAACTACTTCAACCATTATCGATACTAGAGTGGAAGTTGGAACATATCGCAATGGATTTCGTAACAGGGTTGTCTAAAGCACGCCTAAGACATGATGTCATTTGGGTAATTATCGGCTGACTCACCAAGTCTTCTCACTTCTTGGCTATAAAATGACCGACCCATTGGATAAGGTAGCAAAAATATATATTAAAGAGATAGTTAGGTTACATTGAGTTCTAGTGTCAGTAGTATCCGACAGAGACCCCAAGTTCATTTCTCAATTTTGGTCTAGTTTTCAACAAGTCACAGAAATAAAACTATCCTTTAGCACCGTATTCCACCCTTAACCTAATAGGCAATCAGAGAGAATGATTTGCACACTAGAGGATATGCTTCTAGCTTGTGTTTTAGACTTTGGAGGCTATTGAATGATCACCTACCTCTAATAGTTCGCCTACATAACAACTACCAAACAGCATCGGCATGACTTCTTATGATGCATTATATGGCCGA